GCTGATTTTTTGATTTATTGTAGAGATGAGGTCTCACTGCCCAGGCGGGTCTCGAACCCACGGGCTCAGGCAATCCACTCACCTCAGCCTCCCAAAGGCGCGGGATGACAGGCTGAGCCACCGAGTCCGGCCCATTATGGCGTTTTTACATTTCCGGCCATTTGTGTGTCATTTAAAGGCCACAGCAAATGTCACCTCCTCGTGGAAACCTTCCCTGATTCCCCCCAGCCTCCCAGTTCTGTGTTCCAGCCCGTTGCTGCCACCCTGTGCTGGAGCTGTCAGGGAGAATCCAAGTTAATTTCCACCAATAAGAAGTTCTCAGCTGGGTGTGGTGGTCCATACCTGTAATCCCAGTGCTTTGGGAGGCTGAGGCGAGAGGATTCCTTGAGATCAGAAGTTTGAGATCAGCCTGGACAACATAGCAAGACTCCATCTCTACAAAAAATGAAAAAATCAGCTGGGCATGGTGGTGCCTGTAGTCCCAGCTATTCAGGAGGCTGAGGCAAGGGGATCACTTGAGCCCAGAATTTCTAGGCTTCAGTCATCTATAATCACACCTCTGCACTCCAGCCTGGGCAACAGAGCAAGATCCTGTCTCTTAAAAATTTAGGAAAAAATTTCTCTCTTGAGATATGGAAAATGGAAGAGAAGCAAAAGTCTTTTTTAATTGCTCCCCTGGCTTTGGCAGGTGTGAGGTTTTGCTGTGGCCTCCGGGTGGTGTTGCACCTGGTGCTGGAGGCAGCTGTGACCATCACCAGGGGTCTCCCGTGGTCCCCATGCCCTCCTGACCCTCTGTACACTTGCCATGACCCTGAGACCCCAGGATGATATTCCCTGACCTTCTTGCCTCTGACTCTTTTAATGGTTTGAAGCTCTTAATTCTCTGTATTAAATACTTTCCTGCGTGAAATGCCCAGAGAGGGTCCTGGCCTCCCATTCAAGGAAACCTTGAGTGAGGCACCATTTGCTACCAGAAGTCACTTCAGGACACAGGGCCTCACAGACAGAAGTCGAAGACTGGTGATACAAAGTGATGATCTCATTGTTGTGTTGTGGGTTCAGCTGTGCCCCCCCCCCAGATCCACATGCTGAAGCCCTTCCTAGCCTTAGAACCTCAGAATGTGACCTTCTTTGGAAATAAGGTAGTTGCAGATGTAATTAGCTAAGAGGAGGTTACAGTGGATTGGGTGGGCCCTAATCTGACATAGCTGATGTCCTTATATAAAAGGGGAGACTTGGTCACAGAGACATCCACACAGGGAGGACACCACGGGAGAATGAAGGTAGAGATGGTGACGCTTCCATGAGCCGAGGAATGCCAAAGGTTGCCAGCCACCACTAAGAACCACAGCCGCAGAAAGAACTCACCCCGCTGACACTTTGCTTCTGCCTTCTGGCCTCCTGTGCTGTGAGGCAGAACCCTTCCGTGGTGTGTGCCGCCTGGTATGTGGTAATTTGTTCGGACTGTCCTAGCAGACGGTACAGTCTGTGACAAATTGGGGGCCAGTTGTCTCAGCAAGCCGGGGAAAGACACTTCTCTGCAATTGCCCAGAGTGAAGTGTTTCTGGAAAGCCAGATTTGGGGAGACTAAGATGTGTCTGCAAAACAGCATTGTCGTGGAAACTAGGGCTGTGAGGGCCGCAGGGTGGGCTGGTGATTTCTGACAGCCCTGGAAAGATTACATTTTCTAAGATGACACACAAGGGACTTTCCATTCTCGGTTCAAGTTAGAGTGAGAAAATCAGAAAATGTGTAGGACTTTACCGTAGGAGAAAATCTTATTTCTTGTAGCAAGACTGTTGGATCTGAAAGTCGTTTCCCAAGTTCTGTCCTGCGGGCTGTAGGATTACATGGAAATTGAATTCTCAGCCTCGCCAGGGCGCTCAGGCAGAAGTCAGAGCACAGAGCAGGAGAGTCAGAAGGGGAGCTGTCGAGTGGGGCACCTTGTCGCCTTCCCCAGAACCCCACTGGCCTTTCCTGCTGGCGGGAGCAGCCCTCCTCCCTTCACTTGAAGGCCTCGCCTGGAGGACTCACCTGCCCAGGGAGCCGGTTCCCCTCAAGGCCCAAGCCCCTCACCCCTGGCTGCCTCCAGACCGGAACCTGGAGTGAGGTCCCAGCTGACTCCAGGGATGTGAGTAAAAACTTGTCACTCTTGCCGGGCGCGGTGGCTCAGCCTGCAATCCCGCGCCTTTGGAAGGCCGAGGTGAGTGGATTGCCTGAGTCTGCGGGTTCGAGACCCGCCTGGGCTGGCGAGACCTCATCTCTACAGTAAATCAAAAAATCAGCTGGGCGTGGTAGTGCGCGCCTGTAACTCCAGCTACTTGGAAGGCTGCGGTGGAAGGATCACCGGAGCCCAGCAGGTCGAGGCTGCGGTGGCCGGGAGCGGCCACTGCACTCCAGTCTGGGCGACAGAGTGAGACTCCAACTCAAAAAAAACAAAAAACAACAACAACAAAAAACTTGTCACTCTCCACGAAGACCAAGATTTTGCTGACTTAAGCTGGAGAATAATAGGAAGAGTGGATTCTCAGTGCCACCAAGAGTGGATGGGAGCCATGCTAGACAGGTGGACGTTGCTGGGAGACTCTGGGTTCCATTGTCTGCCTGAGCATCTGTGAGTATCCTGAGAAGTGTGTTCCGTTTGCTGCTGGAAACTTGGACTGAACAGTGGCCCAACTGAGATGCCAGAGATTCCCTTATGCAATACAGAGAAAATAATCCAGACACTTAGGGGGCTAGGAACATTGGCATGGAGTCATCAGAGCAACCCAATCACTGAGGCCCTCCTTGTGTCCCCAAAGCACTCCCTTCAAAAAGCCCCAGGACTCACCAGCGAGGAGCCCTTGAGCTCTTCAGGCCAGGGTGATGGTGCAAGATGCCGCCATCACAACTCATGGGACCCCGGAGTGGCAGAGACCAAGAGGCCCAGAGAGGGTGGGCTCAGTGACTGAAGGGGCAGTCAGCTCGGCGCACTCAGCAGGAGGAACAATGCTGCAGAGATCTTGGGCATTGGCCAATTGGCCAGGCGTCCCCAGAACCGAAAAAGATGGATAATCTATTGAAGCTGAGTTTGATCACTTAAAAGACCCAGATCTTCCATGAAGTACCTTCAGGGAGAGTCACGATCTCCCATCCAATTCCAGGACTGGGTCTCGAAGAAGGAAGAGAAATGGGCGCCTCCGTGGAAGGACTCCACGAGGTATCTAAGTACGACATGTTCACGTGCACTTCCGATCTCTCCACTGCCTTCTCAAGGGACTTACAGTCATCCCTTCGGTTACCTATTGCTGCATAACAAACCACCCCAAAGCTGAGTGGCTTAAAACCATGACAACCATTTATCTGCAATCTAGGCAGAGTCGATAGGGAAGGCTCATCTCTGTTCCCTGTGACATCGGCTGAGTGGCTCAGCCGACGGGGGTCTGGAATTCCTCCCAAGATGGCTCATTGCCATGGCTGGCCGGTTGGTACCTGGTGGTTCCTCTCCAGGGGCCTCTCCATGGGCTTGGCTCCTCCTGACTTGATGGCTGAGTTCCAAGAATGAGCCTCCCAAGAGGCACCCGATGGGAGCCGTGTCGTCTTTTGCGACTTGGTCTTGGGAGTCACATAGCATCACTGCTGCCATCATTAAAGGCTCCCCCGTCGGCTTTGCCATGGGGGAACTGGGCCCCGGGCAGGTTTCTCCTTCGCCAGCTAGCGCAGTGCTGGGCTTCGTCAGCAGAGGGCGTCGGAGGTCGCAGCAAAGCCTAGCAGAGGAAGGGGCTTCCCTTCCTGGTTCCTCCTATGGGGCTGCCGCCGGTGGGCCCGCACACAGGAGGCTCTTCAGAGGGTTTCTCTGCCACCCATGGGCTGCTTCTTGCAGACACCCCCAGTCTGTCACACTCCCCAGCAAAATTCTCAGCCACCTGGTGGGAATTCCTGTTGGAAGAGCTCTGGCCCAGATGCACCCCTCATGAGTTTCTTGGCTGACAACGGGTAGGTTGTCCCACAGATGGGTGCTGGCTTTCACCCCTTGGCAACTCTCTTCACCACGGGGAGGCTGCGGGTTCCTGGGGCAGCCGCACCCTCTCCAACAAAGCCTGGGCCCCAGCCTAGGATGGAGCGTTCATTCTTCCAAGTTCTTAGCTTCTTCCTGTATGCTCACCCTCTGTCCTCGAAATAGTGGCTGCCTCTGGGGCTTGCTATTCCTGGACTCCTTAGAGCTCTCTTATACCCTTTCAATACTTACTCATCTTTTTCCAGGTTACAATTCTTCCTATTAAATCTTCCTGTTCAGACTACTGGTGTGGTTCCTGTCTCCTGACTGGAGCCTGGTGATCTGGAATTAGTACCAGGAGTGGGGTCCAGGAGACAGCCCTTCAGAGATGGAACTCGGGGATGGTTTTGATCATGCCCTTGGCT